CAATTGTCTTCCACAATTTGATCGGAGGAAGTGGGTCTGGCCCACGAAAGCTCATCACCAAATAAACCATCTTGTTAGTCTTTAACGTGCTGCATAGCTCTGTCTTTTGTGAACGACAAGGCTTTGTAAGAGGCAGCCCATGTTGGCTAGTTAAGGCAGCTGGGATGAAATTCTCAGGGCACAGGCTGGGACAGCTGGACCGCTGGACCTGCCATTTAACTCTGTAGCCTGGGTGAGGGAAGGGGGTAGAGGGATTTCTGCCGTCGGGTCCGGAGTGGCTGCCGGTGGGCCTGCACCCTCACTGGTCTGTGTGAGGAACAAAGGCCCAGGGTGCTGTGTGGTGCCCCACATGCTGTTGGGGCACTTAGTGTAGCACACAGATAAGGGATGGAGCTAATAGAGTCACAGGATATGGTGGGATTGCGATCTGTGATCTCACACCTGACAACTGCCTCACCTCCTTATCTCAAAGGAAGGTGAAGAAAGCCGCTGGGAGGGGCAGTGGGGTGGAGGAGGAGGAAGAGAAAAGCCGGAAAGAACGGAGAGATGCCTGCTCCTCACTGGAGTGCAGCCTCACCCCTCCTCTGGGGCACAAAGGGGTAGGACGAAGGCCCCGACTCGCCACCCTCCAGAACGGAACGTGGCCATAAGTTCTAAGGAAGGGCTCTGAGGCAGGTATGTTTGGCCCTTCTGCAGAGGAGGAGTGGGAACAGGAAGGGGAAAGGAGGAATGGGACAGTGAGCGCTGGGAGTAGGGGAATGAGGAACAGGGACAGGGGAATGTGGCGTGAGCGCAGGGAAGGAGCCACGGAGTGGAAGCTCTGTAGCATCAGTGCTGGAACCAGCCCAAGGAGGAGGAAGCCACGTTGGTGGGCGGAGCGAGGGGTTAGGACAAGAAGGGATTTTGTAGGTGTGCAGTTGGGGGAGGGGAAAATGCTAGACATAGAGACGTATAAGAGACAGGTGGGAAGGGCTTCACAATGTGGCTGCTTGGAAACGAACCCCAATAACCACCCCCTTGCCTGCTCCCCGTCTCCACACCAGCAAGCTACCATGCGGTAAATCAGTCCTCGGCCCCGTCACTCCTGCCTGACCAGAATGCCGGGGGTCCCTTGCAGTGGGCAACCTGGAAGAGGTTGAAAGGCGCCCCAATAAGTGTACAGGGAGAGCTTATTACGCTTCAGATTTTAGCTGCTAGAATTTCATAATTCCTTCGCAGCGGGCAGCCTCGGGGAGACTGAGAAGCGCCCCAACTGAATTTTGCCACCTGGGTGTGACACAAATTCAAATGCCCAAGCTCTCCCTATATCTGTCCCTTTATGACCGGCTGAAGTTCTTTTGTTTGTGTTCGGTTTGAGTACAGCAGCACGGGTTCAAGTCAGAAGCTTGACACGCACTGGCTTATTTATAGGAGAAAGAAAGAGAAAAGAAATAAAGAAACTTGGTTCAGTGTATATAGATATATATATTTTATAAGTGAATGAGGGCACCCCACTTGTTCCCAAAGTTTATAGCAAAATCACCTTACCAAAGGTGATTTACAATAGAAATGAAGCAGTTTGACTTTAAGAAAACTATAATAAAGTAACTAACTTACAACAGAGAGACAATTAGAGTGTACACATAAAGAAAACACATTGCAGGTACAATTCTCACCCCTGCGTTCCAGACTTGGCGTGGCCAGCGTCTTTCTCTCAATCCCTCGGGAAGAAGTAGGGCGAGGTTGGGCGTCCCACGGACCTCGGGAGACAATCAATACCTGCCAGCAGGTGTAGATGATTGGAGCTCAGATGGGGTGGGCTACTAAACCCTTCTTTACACCCCTTGGGTCACGTTGGCTTCTTCCTGGTCTCAAGTGGCCAATTAGGAAAAATGGCTTCGAACGCCAAGTTTCCCATGAAGGGTGCAAAGCATAATTCACAGCTGGGAAAATGCAGACAATGGGCACCTCTGGTATGTGATGGGTGAAGATCCCTCTCCTGGGACAGTGCAGGTGTGTCAATTACTGGTATTAGTCATCAGGGTGGCGGGAGGCCTCCCAGTCGTCAGCTAGCCCATGTACTGTCTGGTTTCTGTTTATGGTAGAGTCAGGGACAGGCACCACACCTGCGTTCCCAGGGCATCAAAGGCTGACTGCCTTTCTCTTGCTCTCGGGGGGGGGGGGGAACCAAGATGGGGTTCATGTCTGGCTACAACACCACACTAGCAAGGTGCTCAGTGCACGCTAGCTCTGCTATTGCTGGGCTCCAGGTAAACCACCTCCACAAGGACTACAGAGCTTGCTGGGCTCTGGATACAGCCCTGAGGTGCGGATGCCAGATGCTATGGGGTGCTACACGGGGCATCCCTGCTATAAGTCGCATCCTTTCTGTGCTAACTTCATTGACACTTGTAGGAACTGATGCGTTATAAGTCCCCCCATTCCCCACCCCTAAGCTGCATAAAAATCCCCCCAATTTGCGCAATTGGCAGTCAGCCATGGAAAACAATTCCCCGCCTTTCGTTCCAAGTCCAGGTTTTTTGGAACGTATCTTGGACTTATAGCGAGGATGGCCAGTGGCTCTGTGATAGCCCTCCAATATTCGTCTCACAAGGCCTGTTCTTGTCTCTCTGGTCATTGGTTTGAACTCCACTGTCTTGCTCCTCCTCCCCCCGGTCAGGGCCAGACTAAGGGGTGGGCTAGCTAGGCAGCTGCACATGGCGCCAACCTACAGGGGGCACCCAGCTCCCGGCGGGTTACAGCAGCTGCCCAGGGCAGCGGCTATGTTAACCCCCACAGCACTGGCCACCAGAGCTCTTCCCCCCACTGCCACAGGGCCCTGCACGGCCAGGCGCAGCCCATCCCAGATGTCCCCAGGCTGCACACCATCAGCAGTGGCCAGGCCGACTGGGGAGCACATGCACCATGCATCCACCCACGCGTCCTGAGGGCAGGTTCGCACATACGTTGTGCACCCAGAGGTGGAGCCGCCCCCACAGCACTGGCCACCAGAGCTCTTCCCCCCACTGCCACAGGGCCCTGCACGGCCAGGCGCAGCCCATCCCAGATGTCCCCAGGCTGCACACCATCAGCAGTGGCCAGGCCGACTGGGGAGCACATGCACCATGCATCCACCCACGCGTCCTGAGGGCAGGTTCGCACATACGTTGTGCACCCAGAGGTGGAGCCGCATGTCCCGGGGGTGGGCCCATGCAAGCGTCGTTCGCCCCGCTGCGTGTGTGCCCAGAGGCGGGGCCACGCATCCTGGGGGTGGGCCTGTGCAGGCGCCGTGCGTGCCTGGGACCCGGGGCGCCATAATGGCTTGGACAGGCCCTGCCCCTGTTGACCAAACCTCAGGTTCCCCATTGGCATTCCTTTGTGTTAGAGAAGAAACAGGTGCCCCAGGATCGGATGGGGTAAAAGGAATGGCTTTATTGCCTACGCACGTTTACCTCGGACATTCAGCACACTGTCCGAGTGGCCACAACCTGGCAGTAGTTCGAATCTTTTATCTATTTTAGTATGTTAATTCACGTCTACCGCTACTTTTCCTAAAACCTTATTTAGTAATGTTAACTCCCATAAAACGAATATGAATACGCAAATAATGAATACAATTACACCCACCCTTAATGACTATTTATATAATTTCTAATTAAATCAACGCATTCCTATCCTACAAACTAGCAGGTTACAGAGATTACAAGGAGGTTGACCCTGAAGATGTTATGCAGAGCCAACGAGGATAAGCAAGAGACACACCAAGGTAGAACAGTTCCATACTTACCTGGTTTCCTAGGTTACAAAACAGAGAGAGCGTAAGGTTATAGATATCAAAACATAATACTGGTCTCAACTGGACCCTATCATCCCAAACTACAAAACAAACGGAAAAAGGATGAAGTCTGCTGTGGTTGACTCCTTAACCACTAATGCAAAAAGGCCATTCCAAACCTACTGATTTTTACCCCTCCAGTGCTGGGATTTTGAAAGTCCCTATTTGCTCTGAACTGTCATTCATGCTAAAATTCGACACTTTACACTTAAGTTTGAATAAAGACTCTAATTATCTTACCCATTACAAAGATAGCTTCCCCAATTATCACCTCTAATTTCATTAGCTCACAGACATTTACCTCCCTCCCCACCCCTTTCTGTTCTGAAATTTGATTTGTCAATTTCACATGCATTCATTTTTTTAATTGTATCCTTTGGTATATATGGCTGTGCCAATTTTCTTCCACTATTTGATCTGAGGAAGTGGGTCTGGCCCACGAAAGCTCATCCCCTAATAAACCATCTTGTTAGTCTTTAAAGTGCTCCATAGTCCTGTTTTTTGTTTCAGCTACACCAGACTAACACGGCTACATTTCTATCCCTACTTGCTCAGTGAGGCATGTTGTATTCTCAGCATGTCTCTCCAGCCGATGACGCCTGCTCCATGCACCAGGAGACCCGCCCGATTTGGATCCACACCAAGGTGCCGGACCTCATCAGTCGTCAGTCCAGTCCCAGCTATGCTCCAGCCATAGGGATGGTGATACCGATGGGCAGATCTCAAGATGCATGACTGAAAGGGGACATGACTGGGGGACACCGTGGTGTAGGGTCAAAGTGAAGGAGCTTCAAAATGGCTCAGGAAGCAAAACTGCCGCTCCAGTGCTGCGCCGATGACCTGCCAGTTCTACAGAGAGTTGGATGTCATCAACCTCACCCCCGCATCAAAGACCGCGTGGGTATGTTGGGGCCTCAGGGGCCATGCCAGAGTGAACCGAGCCAGGAGGATACCAAGAGGAAGGGAGACCTATAACCAGAGGATGGCTCCGCATCCTCAGATGCATGTACCTGGAGCTATTTCCTACCCCAGAGGAGCCGTTGGAGCCTGGGGAAGCACAAGCAGCAAAGGACGTGCCACGTCAATGGCTCTGGTTTCTGGAAGGGCTGAAGCGCATTGTGGAGGGCGTCCGGGCTGCCAAAAGCAGGCATGGGTTTGTGTGCTGCTAGCGCTGACCCAGGGCTACTCAGACGGGGGGCAGGATGTTGAAGGCATCTCTCGCTTCGCAGTAATCAGCCTCGCAGATCTCGCTGAAGGTGTCACGCAGCCGCCGGGCTATTTGCTGCTGCAGGTTCCTTGGTAGCGCTGCTGTGTTCACTCTCCAGTTCAGGGCAACATTCCCACACCACTGGGCCATCAGAGGGCGGGGCGGGGGCATTGCTGCACACAGGCAGGCGGTGTAAGGGCCAGGATGGAAGCCACAGCCTTGCTGGAAAACCCTCCCTTCTCTTCTCACTCGCAGCCGTGAAATCTCTTGCAGAGCTACCGCAGCCTGTGGAAAAGGTGTGGACGTTACCGATGTTAGGGCCTCCTGCACGTTGGCTCTCCCCAAGATGCACCTGCCCAGACTGCAGTCGGGCCCTGCCCCAAGCAAATCCCCTGCTCCAGTGACTAACTCCCCGTTTTGAGGGTCTTGTGCCTTATGTGCACGTGCCCTGGGACAGCCAGCCAGGGCTAGGTACGTGAACCGTGCCTGTGTTTAAACTGGGCCATGCCAGGGCTCTGTCTGGTGGTACCAATGGTCCCTCTGAGATGTAGCATTTGGGCTCCACAGGGGCCAGGAGTAGAACATGCATGTCATCTATCGCCCCTCCGCAACGAGGGATGCCCATCCATGCAGAGCCACCAACGGTTTCAACGCCTTGTCCAGAGTCGTGGGCTTTTGGCTCAGGCTGTGATTGGCGACCCTGCACACGTCCATCCGCACGAGTCCAACGGTCGCCTTTCCCACGCCAAAGTGATCGGTCGGTAGCTCTTGGGAGTAGCCAGTTTCCACAGTGAAACCCTCCACCCCCTCCTGACCACCATGAATCCAACCTAGTGCCTCTCCACTCTGATATCTGCCCCTTCACTTACTCCGTACCGGGGGCAGGCTATGCCCGGACATGCTGTCTGTGGGTTCCAGAAGCTGATTGTTGAAATTGTGAACATCTCTCTGGCACGGGGTGCCTCTGATATTAAAGGGAAGCTGCAGAGGGGCAGAGAAGGGGTGTCACCGCAGTTGTGCGTTTCCATTTGTCACATGGGGCAAGGACTCTGACTTACGGAAAGGAAAGAGCGAGAAATGACAGAGCAATCGCAACACACAGCCCCCTGCTAGCCAGACCCGGACTTCCCCAACCAGCTACACCAGTTCCCCTAAACCCCAGCCCTCAGCCCCCTCCTGATGCAGAACTGGGTTTGCCCATCAATTTTGAAGCTCCCTTCTAGAGCAATAAACAGTCAGATCAGATGATTCATAGATTAGATTAGATTAGATTAGATTAGATTAGATTAGATTAGATTAGATAGAGTGTGTGCGGAGAGAGAGGGAGTGGATGGGGATAGCTAGATAAATAGATAGGGTGGAGGGAGAGAGAGATGCAGATCGGGAGGGGACAGCTCGAACTTCTGAGCGTGTTTAGCTCTGTGGCTAGCCCTGGAAGAAGCAATAGAACCGCTCGCCACCGGGTGAAGTTTCCCTCTCTCCACTCAGTGCTAAGGAGAAAAGCTTCATGTTTTGAGTGAAGGGGAGCGGGAAGCCAGGAGACCTGGGTTCTCTGCTGCGGGGTGGGTCTTTTAGGCCAGGGCCGGGGTCGGGGGAGGGAGGGACAACTGGGAGCCCAGAGATTTTCTCCTCCCCCTCTCACTGAGCTGCTGCTGGTGACCATCCCCGGGGTGGCAGGGCTGTTGAGAAGGACCCGGGTGTGGGCAGAGGGGCAGCTCTGACTGGTGCAGCAGTGGGCGTGGCAGCTCTGGGGTCACCCCCCACACTCCCCCTACCCCCCACTGATGTCACAGGCGTGCACTCTGTCCAAGCGCTGTGCAGCTGAAGCGAAGGGCGGGCGGAGCGGAGGGAGAGCTGGGGTGGGGGGGGCGCTTCCTGCCCCC